TGTTTTGGGGATTATAGTTTAGTTTGTACTATAGCTTGTGTTTAATAAATACTTTACAGCGCTCAAAGGGATGGTAGCTTGGTTCTTTTGTAAAGAGATGTAGCTATATAGGCTAAAAGAACAGCTGGCTTTGAAAAAGCATCAGAATCAAGTCATAGCTCTCCAAACACCTCACCTCTAGCGCTTCAGTCACCGTCTGCTTCCAAAGTGCGTTTTCAACCTCTCTAAAGAAAGCTGACTATCAACCCACACTACACACATGCAAACTGGAAACATGATATTAACATGATTCCAGGGACTGGAGAGATGGCTCTGTTAGTAAGATGCTTGCTGTCCAAGCAGGAGGCCCTGAGTCTGGGTCCTCAGCACCCATATAAAAGCTGGAAGAGCGGGATGTAGCTGGAATCCCAGTGATGGGGGCTGAAAGGCTTGCTGGGCAGCCAGACTAGAAGAAGGAGCAAATTCTGTGTTCAGGGGAAAGCAACTGAAACAGACAGCTGCTGTCAATCAATCTCCAACCTCCACATTCATTGGGGGGATAAAAAGAGCTAAGACAAGCTCTTGAGTAACAGGAGGAAACGAGAAGGTAATATGGTGTCTTAGTTTGAACTCACTTGGTTTATAGTAAGATAAACAAATGACCAAGTATTCCTTAAAGTAGAGGGATTTTAGTTTTAAAAGTTGAGTGGACATTGGCCGTGAAAGAAAAGAAAGAAGAACCTTGTGGTGATATATTTTGTCCCCCAATATATTGTGCATCCTAATAAACTTATCTGGGGTCAGAGGACAGAACAGCCACTAGATAGACATAGAAGCCAGAAAATGGTGGCACACACACCTTTTATCCTATCACTTGGGAGGCAGAGATCCATCTGGAGTTCTGTGAGTGAGTTCAAAGCCACACAGCAAACAGCCAGGCATAGTGACGCACGCCTTTAATCTCAGGAAGTGATGGCAGAAAGCAGAAAGGTATATAAGGCGTGAGGACCAGGAACTAGAGCTGGTTAAGCTTAAGTGTTTGAGCAACAGTTTAGCTGAGATCCATTCAGATGAGAACACAGAGGCTTCCAGTCTGAGGAAACAGGATCAGCTGAGGAATTGGCAAGGTGAGGTGGCTGAGGCTTGCTCTGCTTCTCTGATCTTCCAGCATTCACCCCAATACCTAGCTTCAGGATTGTTTTTTATTAATAAGACCCTCCAACAATTTGTGCTACAGAATCCTTCTAAAAGGTACCTATCACTACCCCCCTTTGACCTCACCTGTGTCTGCTGTAGCTGGAACATAGTAGATGTTTTACTTAGTGTCTTCTACAAGCTGGTAAACCTCTGAGAGTGAGGATAGTACTATAGGAGGAGGGGGCAGAGTAGATTTTTTACCCATTAGTTATTTAAGTATAAACACCACAGAGAAGGGTTAGGGAAGGAGACAAGATTCTGAGAATGAAATTGCCCTGCAGGCTACATGGACCGGGTGAAATGGAGAACATATGGGAGACAGAAACTGGTACCAGGAGTGGGGTATTGATGTGTTGGGCCTGACCATGCTGTTTGTTGGAAGACTATGGGAGACTCTGAGACTTTGGACTGGAAAAATGGTTGAACATTTTAAGCAGGGATTACTGGGCCATCCTAGTAGGAGCGTGGAGGATGGTGACAGCAATGTAAATAATGATGACCTGGCTCAAGAAGTTTCAAAGGGGGGAAATATTAGTAAGTAGCCTAGAGACCATTCTTACAATATTTTGCCAAAGAATTTTTGCCTTTGTCCAAAAAAAAAAATCTTGCTGAGGTCAAATTGAAGAGTTTTGGACTAATGGCATTGGCAGAGATTTCAAGATAGTCTAGTATTGACTATTTCCTGTGGATATTAGTAATCACTCTCATGCAAGTCTATAATGAAAAGGAGCAAGCAGAGCAAGGAAAAATATAAAATATATAGTTTGAGGAGAAAAGGGACACCAGGAAATGTAATATAGAAGTCCTAGGGCTCAAGGAGATAAATTTAAAGAAAAGTCTGATGCTAAATGGAATAAAGGGAATAGTGACCCCAGGACAAAACCCCACCCAGCTCAGCTTTCGACTTGTGCAAAGGAATTAAAGAAAAGCTTAAGCAGTAAAGGGGAACCATCAACAACAGAAAGCTGATGCAACTGTAATATGACAAGGGGGCCAGGTCCCTTCCCATCAAATATCAGAACTTGGCAGCTTCGGCCACTTGACTGTGGCTTTAGAGTCAAGAATACATGATGGAGCAGGTGGAATCTTCCTCCATGGCTAAGGAAAACTGCCAAGGCCAGGAGTGTGTGAGGGATGTAACTGTGTGGAGGCTCAGAGAGGCCATCGAGTGAGGCTGCCCCGTGAGACCCCAAGATGCTGGAGATCACGGGATGCCTGCCAAGGAGAGCTGCCGACCGGATGTGGAGCCAGCCCAAGTGAGAGAAGTATGTTATACTCTCAACAAAGCTGGAGAATTGGAGATCTAAAGAGCACTTTGACATCAGACTTGGAGATACAGAATTTGCTGGTTTTAGGTCTAGCTCAAATCCAGTATTTCCTTATCATGCTCCCTTTGCTCCCTTTTGGATTGGCAATATATATTCTGTGCCATTGTATGTTGGAAGTATGTGGATTGATTTTACAGGGTGTTACAGTTTAAGAGGTTGCTTTGAGTCTCAGAAGAGACTTTGAATTTCAGACTTTTAAACAGTCTTGAGACTGTGGAAGATTATGGGGACTTTTAAATTGGACTAAGTGCACTTTGCATTATGATACGGCTATTATAAGCCTATGGGGGCCAGGGAGTGGGATGTGGTGGTTTGAATATGAATGGCTCCCATAGGCTCGCATATTTGAATGCTTAGTTAGCAGGGAGTGGAACTGTTTGAAAGGATTAGAAGGATCAGGAGGCCTTGCTGGAGTAGGCATGGCCTTGTTGGAGGAAGTGTGTCATTGGAGACAGGCTTTGAGGTTTCAGAAGCCCATGCCGGAGGTTCTCTCTCTCTCTGACTGTAGATCAGGGTGTAGCTCTCAGCTACTTCTCTAGCACCACTTCTGCCTGATACCATGCCCCCACCATGATGATAATGACTAAACCTCTGAAACTGGAAACAAGCTCCCAGATAAATGCTTCCTTTTGCAAGTGTTGCCTTGGTCATGGCGTCTCTTCACAGCAATGCAACAGTAACTAAGACAGGAAGGGATTTGCAGACGAGTAAAAATCTGAAGATGACAAGGGGTGGAACTTACATAAGAGGTCTGGAAAGCTGAGAGCCAAAAAGAGTTCACCGAGTGCATTTCTAAGTACCAGCATGGTCTCAGTGGAGAGGGCTGGCCGAAGTCACACTTGGCTGCGGCAGAAAGGGAGGGGGAAAAGCAGAGGAAGGCAGGGCTGACTCCTCGTTCAAGGGGCTTGACCAACAGAGGGCCACAAAATTATTATCGTTGTTGTTTGAGAAGCAAAGTCTTGCATAGCCCAGATTAGACTCGATTGTAGTATGGAGCTAAGATGACCTCTGCTTCCTTAGTGTTGGGATGGGAAGCCTGGCCGCCATGTCTACCTATGTTTATAATAAGATACTTCAAAGGATGTGAGAAGGGGCTAAGGTTTAGAGTGAGGCAAGGGAGCTGCTACAAATGGACCAGTGGAAGGTTCGGAGAGCTGAGAAGAGCGAGTTGAGGCCTTCTGAGAGTTGTGGAGAAGGCGCAACACAACCACTAAAAAGATGATGCGTCAGAGCTGAGGGCTGGCTGACCCGGCAGTGATGGTGGTGAACTTCCGGGGTCCGCAGTTCAGCCTGCACACAGATCAAATGCTGTGCTTCCCATGCCACAGTTACACTGGACCCTGAGTTATCTTCAAGAGTAAATGATCTCTAGCTGAGAATCGGAGCGGTTTCATTTTGTCCGCTGATTGCTGGTTGTCTGCCGTCACCCTTTCTTCTGCCCTTTGTCCTCTCTGTTCCCTTTGACGTGTGGATCTCTCTACTCTTGTCAGTTTGGTTCATTGTGGGGGAGGGAGCATGTGAATCTCTTCTTCCACACCTCCTCACTTAGGAAGGGGCTCCTGGGGCTGGAGAGATAATCCAGCTGTTTACAGAGTTCCTACTGAAACCTTTATTGGAAGGAGAGAGAGAGAGAGAGAGAGAGAGAGAGAGAGAGAGAGAGAGAGAGAGAG